GGAGTGTGCAGGAGGCAGCTGATCAATGTTTCTCTCTCATCAATGTTTCTAACTCTCTATCTCTCTCCCTTTCTCTCTGTAAAAAATCAATAAAATATATTAAAAAATTACTCTAGAACTGTTCCTGAATTCTCTTTACTAATTATAAATTAATTCTTACTATTCAAAGGTTACATCTAGTCCTGTCACAAAGCTTTGAATTTTTATTGTCATATTTCTGCCTTCTTGGAAAAACAAAAACAAAAACAAGAAAAGAAACATGTTGTAAACAAGTTTATACTTATGGCTCTGTGCAATACTCTGGGAGGGAAAAAAGCTAAAAGGCACAGAAGCACATATAGTGGATTTAAGACCAGCTTATGAGAGAGTGAAAAGCAACTCAAATGTATAGTAAAGTAAAACAAATATCAAGTAAGTGGCCGAAGGATACAATGTAGGAAAGAGAAGGCTTAAACCTGAATGATGGGTTTGATTCAAGTAGGCAGAGACTAAGGGAAGAGGCCGCATACTCAGCAAAGTCACAGCAAATGGAAAGTGCAGGTATTTTGGAGGGAATAAGTTGCAGAGAGTTGGAAATAATCATAATGCAGTAGACGGAGATGAGAAGGAATCACTCTTCGGAGCCAGATAATGAAGGGCCGTGAATACCAACATGTGGAGTTTGTAGCCTAAGAGAATCCACTTAAGGTTTTCTTGTTTTGTTTGTTGTTGTTGTTTTGGTTTTTAAATTTCAGATAGTGTTTTAATTTTTAAAAGAGAGAAATAATGAAATTTTAAACTAATCTGTTTTCCTTGAAATAAATCTTTAAAAAACAGAGTTTGGTTAATTTCTAGGTATAAAATACCAAGATGTTAAGAATTAAAAAGAAACTTTAGTAGTGATTCTTCAATGCTTTATTGTCTGAGTATATTGTTAAATTTCATTCTTTAAAGTGGTTGTTATATATTCTCCTTCCATTTAACTGTTAAAAAGCATAATCTTAAAGTACGGAATTATTATATTTGCCAAATACAATAGGACTTCAGTAATAGGTTGTATACTCTTACATTTAAGGTAAACTCATCCTACGGAATTATTACATTTGCCAAATACAATAGGTCTTCAGTGATAGGTTGTATACTCTTACATTTAAGGTAAACTCATCCCATAATTTAGTGTATAAAGGATTCTCACACTATTTTTTGTGTGTTTGCTTTACTTAAAGCCCTGTATACTGATGAACAATATTCAGCAATTACGGGTCCAGTTGGAAAAAATGTTTGAATCCATGGGAGGAAAAGAGGTGGGTATGTTTTTATGCCTACTTTTGCCAAATACCTACTTAGAGATCATTAGCAGCATATCTGTTATTTAAAGGTTCATAATCAAGTTTTACATGGTTTAGCTAAAGAACGGGAAAGGATAATAATATAAAACCCAATTAATAGCTGAGTTTATTATTATGTCCACAACAGAATACTTTAGTGAATATATTAGCAGTGTGAATGGGATGAGGAAGATGGTCAATAGCTTTTTACAGTGTATATATATATTTGGTCATATATATATACAATTAAGTAGATATGCTAATGATCTTTAAAGTTTACAAAGTGCAGATTTTTTTTTTTTTGCCGTATTGTGCAATTCCAACTTGATATCAGTGTTCATTCTGAAATGTGTTTTGTGGTGCTGGTGGTTTTGAGGTATTGGTGGTTTATTCATGTCTAAAAATATCTGTGGATAACGTCTTGTGTGCTGTGTCTGTAATGTGTCCTGTCTTTGTCCAACATCTTTGACTTGCAATCCCATGAGCAGAAGAAGGAAGGAGAAAGATTCTCTTATGAGGTTTGTGATAGTAAGCATCGTATCCTTTACCTGGCTGATTCCCCCACTAGACCTAAAGCCCAGCGCACTTCCTCCTTATTCTCATTTGCTTGTGTGGATCAGGCAGACAGGGAAGTGCTCGCTCTGTACCTGCCTCTTCCTGCTGCTGCAGTTCCTTTCACAAACCAACAGGAGCGCCTGGGGAATGAGGACCGGAGACAGTGCCAAGAGGGCAGGCAGGCAGCTGGCATTCTCCCCCCACCGACCTCCAGGAAAATATCCCAAGGGTAGCTAGAGCGGGGAATATTTCTGGTCAAGATTTTATTTACATTGTTCCTTATGTATATCTCATACACTTGCCAGAGTAAGTGTATGAGATATACATAAAAGTGGGTTGATTTCAAAGCAAAAGGTCTCTTTTATGTCTAAATTTTTAGGCCCCAAATGCTGCTTTAAGGATTGGGCCTCTTCCCATGTGAGGTTGACTCCAAGGAGACCTTTCTACATCCTCCCCCACCGCCCTGAATGTCCTTTTTGTCCTCCGTGAGCCTGTCTTTTGAATAATGAACTTGCTATTTAGCATCCTACAGGCAAGAAGCACTGGGATACATCTGTGAAGGTGCAACAGTTCAAAGATGAACTTGGATGCACTGTGCTTCCTGCCCCTGCAGACTGGGTCTAATTTGTATAAAATAAAAATCTCTTCCCCAAAGCATGTCATTTATGGGTTTTGCACGGTTTGAGAGCATCAATCTCATTGTTAGAATTCTTTCACTGAGCTAGGAGAGCACAAGCAAATACAAAGTGAAGATTCCCTTTGTGTTTTTAGCTGTGTATTATATTCAGACTTTAATTTCACTTGCTGTTTTGAAAAGCAGTGAAGAAATTACTGATTTCTTATGGGAAATTCTACCTCCTTTTAGGGGCTGTGAAAGACCACAAATCATTTATGGATGAAGTTATACAAAATGTCCTATTTCCAGAAATCTCTCCCAATCCTACTACTATTTTATTACTCTTTGTGGCTGAAATCTAATGTGAGCGATATATTGCTAAGCTGCATATTAACCAGATGAATCATATCTATACTTAAATAAACTGTGTGGGCCAAACCACTTGCTAACCAGAAAAATTGTGGGGTGGCTTGTTCACTAATCAAAAATGGATTCCTTATTTCAGTTAAAATCTCCAGCTTGAACTGTGCAGGTTTCACATTATAAATTTAGTTACAAATTTATGGCTACATCACAGGACTCTTCTATATTAGAGAAGATAATGAAACTGGAAATACTGAGCTTGGGGCCTTCTCCCTTCATAACATTCGCAATGTCCATTGCTAAATTCCTTATACATAATTTAACGGGAAAAGTCAATTAAGTAAATGAGTGTCTGGCTTCTAACAATATAATCTGTTAGAGGCACAGCATGGACCCTAGCTCCTTTCTTTCCAACATTTAAATATTTTTTTCTTCGTTCTCTCCTTTTCTTTGCCCCCTTCTATTCTCCCATCTCCCTTTCTGCACAAAGTTTCTTTTCTCTCATTCTTTTCCATTTTTATATCTTGTAATTTGTTGCTAAGAAAAAGCTTTAGGCAGACCCAATCAGTATTGCACATGGGTTGATAAAATGTGAGAGAAAGCAAGACCTGAACCCAAGTCTAAGTGTAACATGCAGGCTCCCAGACAGAAATAAGCTTTATTATTAATACGGAATTATGTTAAGATTGCTCATTGCTACACTTAGCCTCCCCTGGGCACCGGAATCTCAAAATAATGGGCAGAGATCTTCCAATGCAGTTATCTGTAAACAGCAGTGTCTTAACTCAGGGCTTTTACAAAGATGAAAAGGATTTTATTAAGAATGACAGAATTTACCCTTTCATATGAAAAATATATGTAGCACTTAAAGCAGCCTTATTCAAGCCTTGAAAGGCCCACTAGTGCCAATTTCCAGTTTGTCCTCACAGTGGAACTGCTTATAAAATCTTGACTGGCATTGCTAAGGGAAACTTTCCAACCTAGATCTTATCCTTCTTTACGGAGTTTCTTCTTATTTTCATCCTCTACCATCTGTGCTAGGATGTGCACTTCTTGCCACAAAAATCTAATTAGCAAATGATTGCTTGTGCACTTGCTCAAAATAGCTTTCGATGCCATGTGTTAATTAGTTGGCTTCTAACCACAGTGTTGCTTGCCTCTCCTACTGTCTGCGTAGTGCTGGCCGCCTGCAGGCCTGGCTGCGTGATGCTGCAGCTCTCAGCCGCTTTAACCCAACCAAGGTGGGGGCAGCTGTTCTTTCTTTGCAGGGTGAGTCTTTTCCTTCTGCAAACCGGAAGAATGCCTGAAACCTTCTTTGCGGAGGAAAGGGTTACTCTCTGTACGGAGTGCAAGAGAAAAACGTTGCCTAACACGAGGACAATTTTGGGCTGCTGCTGTTGACAGCGGCTCCCAAAGCAGTCGCATGAGCAGTCACTGTTAACATCTGCCTGCACAGTATCCTGTGCCCCATGTTGGCACATTCTTTTCCAATTTAGAAAAAAATATCTAAAGGAAAAAGCAAACCATGAAATTCCTTCTCCTATAAAGTGAATTTCCAACATGCTTCCCTGCATACAACTTAAGAGCATGTTTTGGCATAACCACTTTCTGACGACTATGGAAAAGTTGTGGGTTTTTTTAATGTCACACAAACTCTGGAGCAAAAGTAACCTTTAGGAATGATGCCCAGAGTCTTTTCCTTAAAAAGCACCTCAGGTGATTTTTTTAATGTGCATACAGTTTTGGGAATCCTTATACTGAAACAAAGAAAATGGCCAACCCATCATATGGGGTGACTTAAGATAGAATTTTCATTTTTTTATATCACGATCTCCAAACTATATTACCTGTCCCTTTCTCACACAATAACAATAAAGTGATTATCAGGATTCCAGGTAATATTTTTCATTCATTGTGAATGATCGTGTTATTATCCTACAAAAGCACTAATAGCTCAAAAGCAAAACAGATATATTTTGGTTATGTTATTTTAATAGCTTTATTATTTCATGAGTATAACTTCAGTACATATCAATTGCAAATAAATACCTAGTCTGTATTCATTTTTTCATAAATGCATAATGGTGTGGGCAGGACTTAGTTGTACTTTCTTCATCTGCAATATAATTTGTACAAGTACATGAAAAATAAAATCATAAAATCTAAAATTTAATTTCAGGAAGTCATAATAGTCATTATGAAACTCTACAGAACTTATTGATTTAGAAGAATTATAACTGTATTGTGTAAGCGGAAGGCACTTCACTCCTTCACAAACCTGTGCTGGTGCAATCTTCTTGAATGGTAGAATCCATAATTATCACCAGGCCTATTAACCTATTGACAGCACTTCAGATTCTAGAAGTTAGCCATTATTAAGATATTTAGAGGAAATAGGGGGTTTGTTTGCTTACCTAAATTCTCTCATTCTGCTAAACACAGAGGAAACCAACTAGGTACAACAATGTTATTTTTATTAATGTGTTTCAAAAAAATTTGAATTTTTTTACTCATCTCATTGCGGTAATCTTTCCTGAACAGGGCCAAGGAATCTGGAACATAACTCCATCTACCTTAAAACGTATATATTTTATTGAGCAAATTAATACTTTTTTTGTTTCAGAGATGAATATCTATATTAATTTTCATTTTTATTTCTTTTTTAAATGTTTCTATTGACTTGAGAGAGAGGGAGTGAGAGATAGAAACATCAATGAGAGAAACATCAATCAGCTGCCTCTTTCATGCCCCCTACTGGGGATCAAGCCTGCAACCCATGTGCACTGACCGGGAATCAAACCAGTGACCTTTGGTGCATGGGACAACATTCAATCCACTGAGCAACACAGGCCCGGGCTTACTTTTCATTTTCAAAGATGACTTTGATGTATCAATTAGAAATTGCATCTGAGTGCCAAAGCATATACATGTAGCTGATTAAAATCCCTTGTAAAATATTTTAGCCATATGGACTCAGTCTTCAGTTACGTAGACCAGAGAGGACAGAAATTATCTTCTGTCATATTTTACTTAGCACTATCCTCTCAACTTTATACTTGCTGGGCAATAGGGGATTGAAGATCACTGCTTTATAGGAAACACTATTCCATGCCAGTAGTTCTTGAACTTCAGCATATATCAGAACTACCTGAAGAGCTTATGAAAACATTGCAGAATTCCATCCTCCGAGTATTTGATTCAATTGGTCTGGAGTGGGGCCTGATGATTTGCACTCATAATAAATTCCCATGATGTTGATGGTACTGGTCAAAAGACCACATTTTGAAAATTACTGCTCTTTGCTTTTAGAGTAGCAACCAGGTATTTAGGAAATGGCTCAGAATACCTTTGTCATATCCTAACTGACCTTCTTAATATATTTTGAATCTTGAGAACATGGGATTCAATTGTTTGAATACACCTTAACTCAGTGTGCAATAGT